GCTCTCCTGCTGACCTGTGTTCCTTCTCCAGGCTCTGGGCATCTATCGCTGGCCCTGGCATCAAACTGGTAGGAGTGGGATGGATTGAGGTTCCCCTCCCCTGACATCTCTAGTTTAATGATGCTGAAGTAAAAAAAGTAAAGAAGTAAAAAACATTTCTCTGAAAATAAAACAGCCAACTGTTAAGGCTGATTCTTTGAAGTCCACTGCATAAACTTTACTAACTCCCTACTTAATATTAGCTAACCCGTAACTGAATTAGATATCCTAAATCATTCATCAGGCTTGATTTATCCCTATAGGTGGGAAAAGGAAACATCAAAATCATACCGAGACATTAAGTGAAATACTTCTCCAATTAATAAGCTGTTCAAGAAATGTTTTCAGTACTGTAAGTCAGTTTTATTTAAAAAATAGAGTCCAAACATTGTTTTTGATAAGGTGCAACATACATGTTTTTTTCTACAATTAAAAAACCCAAAACCAAAGCAAAACAATATTCATAATTATAGTGTCATTCCAACACGGAATCAGTGGGTCTCCTGTAATCCTTAAACATTCTTTCCCTGCTTCATCAAAGCATAAGAATTAATAATTAGTATCACTGTGACAGCCAAAGGGTCTGGCTAATGTCATCCATGTTCTGTACTTTAATAATAAACTTTCTGGTACAGATTGCTTCAAGTACACATTGGAAGCTGAATGTAACTGTAACACAGTTCATGCAAAACAAAGGTACAATACTGAACTTGCATCATTTAAAGAGTTTTGTTGTCATGTTTAGTTTGACATCTTCAAAGTCCAACTGCTTGAACACGAGGATTGAACTGAGGTTGCATAAAGTGAGCACTGTATACTAAAGTACTTATGTAACTCTCAGATTGATCAGGCTACGTGACTATCTTGAGCTCTAAAAATTGAAATAAATACTTAAGGCTGAGATCTATGCCTCTTGGAGTCTATTCAGTAACTTCTGAGACATATTTGGGAATACAGATGGAAGACAGTGACAGATAATGGGCTTGTTATGGGGAAATACATTAAAACATTACATCAGAACTGCATTTTTTGAGAAAAGCATGTTATTAATTTATATTAAGAGCGTTCCCCATTCAGCCAGTCAAGCTAAAAGAGCAATCAAGACAGTAGCATGGAGGAAGTTCAACAGAAAGACAGCCAATTACCGTCTCTGGAAGTGTCTGAAGTGCTAAGTTTTCTAATTAGCAAAGTCTGTCCAGTTTCAAAACCCTTCTTGTCATTCTAGCATCACCTCAGCCTTGGTAATGCCAAGCAGCTGAAGCTAGCTATGGCTATGTCATTTCTGGAGAGCTAGATACCGGTCCCTGCTCTAAGGGGGTTTAACATATTTTGAACAAGGAGCAGCAGTCTAACCACCCACGTAGAGTTACACATCCAAAGCTTTTTTCCTTGACCCCTTAGATATTTAAACCATTCCATCTAAAGAGGAACGTGTTTGATAGGAAAGAGCTGGACTCCCATTTACCTGCCTTCTGCCTGGGGGGTAGTCCCAGGGTCAAACTGCACCCGCAGTAAGTGCATGCATCTCAATTCCTTCTGTTGTTGTTTCTTACAAACCACCATGTTGGTTTTATGGATCCTGTTCTTAAGCCCTGAGGGCTCCTCATATGCAGTCTAATAAGACGAGGTGACAAGCTGTAATAGGGCTGACTGTTGGTTTTAGTAGATCAGGCCTCTGGATATTAATGGGAATTAGCCACAAAAGTTTATGCCTATGCATAGCCACGGACTGAGTTTAAGATGATAACCCAAGTCAATACCCAAATGAGTTTGTATTCATGGTCAGTTTAATCTCAGTTAGGTGACTCCGTGTCTTTGTCTCAGGAAATGACAATTTTTTCAGTGTTGATATACCATCCTGGTTCCTGTTAGCAAACATTGCCCTCAGTACTATCAGTGTTCTTCAGAGTTAGCTCTGCCATGGACTTACGTACTAATGCAGCATGGACTGAAATTTCCTTGGCTAACAGAGAAGGCTTTAGATCTCTCCTTTTCCCTGACATACGTGAAGCCTTGAGTTTGATTTCAAATAGCAGATAAATTCACTTCTCAATTTATTTCTCTTGGTTTATGAGCGAAAGAGGTATTTTAGTGTTCAAGTGGGGAGAGTATGCACACTTGTTTCCTACGTAAACATAAAGGAAGATGGAGAAAGTGTTCATCAAACATGTATGTATTAACATTAAGCGCTATAAAAGTGAAAAGTAGAACACAGTCCTTCAGTTTTAATTTCAGAACAAGATTGCCCTCAAAAGTCAGCCTATTTATCTTACTCCAAATCCCTTAGATTCTAATTTTGGGTAGGAACTGACATTCGTACTAAGCCCCTTTTGGGTTTAGTTGTGGGAATGCACTGATTTTGTGATGGCATCTCTGTTCAAATGAGGGAATCCAATGTTTATGAGCTTGGTTGTTGACTTGGTTGGTTTTTTATGAGTTTGGCTGATGATAGCTTCATAGAAAAACACAAGAAACAACAGTATTATGTTGTATTTCCTATTCTCAGAAGGAAAGGGTTGCTCAGTTCTGTAGTTTACATAGTTTTAACAATATCCCTTTAATAATACATTGTACTGCAGATGTTCAGTTAACAAAAAGTATACACTGAAATATTTATGGGCTTTGGCCACAACTACGTATATTTATGTCAGTCTGTTGCAAACACTATTGTTAAATGGAGTACTTAGCAGATTAAAATTATCCCTTTACTTCCGTTTCTTTTACTTAAACAATTTGGGCCATACTTTGTGTGAACGCAGTGGGACACATGCCAGAAGGAAGCAGGGTCACTGGAGATAAGAGGAGGAATTTGTGACATGTAACTTTGGGCATCTAACCTAGGGTGCACCTGGCTAGTTGTCTCAGTTCAGGGACACAATAATCATGCACATTGCCTACATGTTGGATCAACAGCCTGGCTTTTGTCTGGAGTAAGCAACAGGCTCTTCTGGCATGAAAGGACTCCCCTCATCTCTGTCCATGAAGACCATCTGGATGCAATGCACTTGAGCTACCGGTATCTGTATGAATTTGAACAAAAATACCAAAGGTCTTAGATGCCTCAATGAAAGGTCCAGACTCTCAGAAGGTCTGAAGGGGATTCAGGGCATCTAAGTTAGGATGCAACCTCTCTCCAAGCTTTAAGCTTATAGTTATAAAGCAAACCCTGGGCAGTGTGGATTATGTGTTACTGAGAGTAGAATTTGGTCTTCTGTTACTGATAGCAGTAAAGTGCTTGTATATTAACACAGACAATGTTGACTCTGTGCATCTCACATAGGACCAGAACAAGGGTTTAGGAAAATTTAGCATTTTTACCTGAGTGACTTGGAGGTCCCTGCCGGGGGCTGTTAAATCTTGTGTTCTTGCTGCAGACAGGTCAATAATTAAAGCTTTGCTATTGTTGTTTGCATTCTCAGTCCCTTTGATCGTATCCAGCCACGGTGTTGTGGAGATGGATTCCACAGTCCTATGACTGGCAGATGCATAGAGTAGATCTGCTATAGAATAAATGTCTGTGACTGTTAAATTAACTTCAGCAATCTCTTGGCAGGTGCAGACAAATGCCAAGAAATAGCAATGACGAACTAAATGGAGAATCAGGAATCAATGCAGAACTTCATTAGTTTGTGAAAAATGATGATGTACACAAGGGGAGACAGGTGAGGGATTCAATCTCTTGTCACCAACATTGATGAGAGCTGGATACCAGTCTCCCTTTAGTGCCTTTGAAAATTCCTCCACAGGCTTTAATGCTTTTTCCCGTTGTCACATCAAACCACATAATACTAAATATTACAGTACCTGTATGCAAAATTGCATAGAGAAATAATAAATCCTTACAAATAAGTCACATTTCAACATTAATAAAGGGAAGCTGATTGAATTTTATACAGTCTAGCATTTCTGTCAAAGGACTAAAGCAGGGAGCAGAGGACACTACGTTTTGAAGTGAGTTGAAGTGTGTTCTTGCTCCTTTAACTCCAGTCCTGATTCACTTAGCTTTTACAAAAATAAATGAAGATGACAAAATCTTTCATTTTAAAATATGACGATTTTTTTCTCTCATGAAAATGGTATAATTCAGTAGCAAATAGCCATTCTTTCAGTAACAAAACCAACTGACATTACTCATACACACGCTCTAGTTTGGAACACAAATCTTTACATCTGTTAACAGCTTATACATAAACAGTGTCTGCTAGTCTTCACACCTGCCTCGAGAGTTACTGTGAACGTTGATGCATCCCACCGGCTCTCCTGGCTCTGTCCCTAAGCACTACATCACTTACACCCACCAACGCTCCAGCTGAGCTGTTGGGAATCTTACTAAGGAAACACAGCTTGCTGTCTGCAGCTGCTCGGAGCTTCTAAACTGCCTTCCTCATTAAATAAGTGCCATCCTGCACCCACTCCTTCTGTCAGAGGCATATTGGGCCATTCCTTACACACATTACTTTTTCCCTTTAAACAAAATGAAACACCAAACATAGCCTTTGTGTTAATCTAGAAGGGATTCCTTTGGGGTTACTTTCTTCTTCCTTTACCAGTCTAGTTAAACATGATAGATTCAGGGTCCTGGTTTGCCATTTGAGCCATATGTCTTAATACATCCTTTTTAGTTATGATACCCAGCAGCCTCCTAGAGGAGAAAAGGAAAGGAAAGGTCAACAATCATCTCATTTATCATCCGTTTTTTTCCCCTGTTCAGCTGCAGGGACATTTTGCGAGTGCTTCAGCATAGCACTGTCCATCTCATCCATTCCCCAATAATTATCTTTTATAAAAAGCATTCTCACCTCACGTATTTTTACTACCCCAGCCATGATCATTAAGTGAAATACATTAAGTGAAATACTTCGGTTTGTTACCTCTTTTTGTTGGGAGCATGACTGAGCGAGGAGCTACAACTACTGACAATTTGTACAATAAAGCAACGAGTTTCCTTAGGCTCAGGCTGCAGAGGACCAACAGCACAAAACCAAGGCACCAATGCCCTGAGCTAGGGCATGGGGTTTAGTAATACACAAACTAAGCTAAAGCACAGACTTTCTGAAAGCACTGTCCAACAGCATAATTCCTTCAAATCTGAGCGATAATTTCTCATTTATGTGAACATAAATGAATGATATCTGTCAAGAAAGATGAGGCCTATGGGATGTCTGGCCCCAAGAGTCAAAAATTTCCTAACCCTCAGCATTCAAGGGCTTTTATTTCCAGTCCTTGAAGGCCACGAGGCACTGAATTTTGAAACTATGTCATTGTTATATTTTTTCCACCTTTCATTTCTTGTAAGTGCTAGAACTGAAGATCAAAATTTCCAAATCCAAGTGTTTAAAATCAGGACCTAAATCTGTGTCCCGATAATGGTCCTTCTTTTCTTAATGCTGAGGACACTTCGTTGATATTAACAGCTGCAATATATTTGAATAACAAAAAGGCTTTTTGTAGAAAACTAAATTTTAGTCTTCCACATTTGAAAATGGTGGCTCTGGTTTTGCTATCCTGTTGTAAAGTTTCGTCTTACCACTAGATCCTGAGATGAGCAATGCTCTCAGAATAGCTCAAATCCCATTGGAATTATGGGATGTTATTTCTAGTGCACATGGTGCAGCTTTTTACTCTTCTAATTTCATGTTTGCCCACACTTCTTCATCTGGTTTTTGTGGACTTTTGGTTTATATGCCTTTCTGTTTTCCTTTAAAGAAAGCTGAGCAGATTAATTTTCCTCCACTGACATCTCTATTACAGTCCTCACAAGCATCTAATCTAGCTGGATGTCTAGAAACACGCACGTCCTTTGCAAACAATACTACTTGCCAGATCTGCCTCTTGAAAACTGAACGACAGTGGGAGTCAGAACCGTTTATTTTGTATTTATCTTTACCTTATCTAAATGACAATACACTAGGGATTTGAGAGAACAGAATGAAACATGACACCCGGCAAGGGCCATTTTTGTTCTGAGTCTGACTTCTTTTGCTGCCCTGGAGAGAGACTGGGTGAGCTTCCCTTAATCTTCCATTCACAAAATAGACAAAAATCAAAATATGCACTTGACTGTCTCAGAGGTGCTGATTAATTAGCTACTGTCTAGACTTGGCTTTAAACAGGAAAAACAGTGGTTTTGTTAGTGCTGAAGAAAGTCTCCTCAGATTCTCTAAGCGTGCTTGACTCAGCATCTACTCACCCACTGCGAGTGACAAGACACTGCCGGAGTCCGAGTTTCCGGAAAATATCTACCACAGTCTCCATTGGCGTGTGGTCAGTGACAGTGAAAGGGCTCAGGTTGAGAATACGCCGCAGCTTCAGTGGATGGGGACTGTTGGGTGGCAGTTCTGGGGGGTCTTCAGTGAAATAGACGATGGAGTTGCTCACCACCCCATCCTGACGCTGTCTTGCATTCTCTGTACAACAGAAAGATCAAGGTAGTCAGTGAGTTAGGCTTGATAACAAAACAAAAAAATTATCCTCCTTTGGAAAGCAAAGGTGGTAGTAGCTTTTTGTCTTAAACGTACTGAGGCCCCGGAAGCTGGGGTTACAGAGGAAACCTGAATTTCCTTGAGACATTGTTCTCTTGAAGCAAATGTAAGTGATATTTTTTACACATACATACTTTTGCTTGGTTGGGATAATGCTTTTCTGAATAAACATGCAGCTCATTGCATTCACAAACACCACTGATCCGATTTCTGTCAAATTCAAATGATTATATATCATTTCCTCCATTGTGAGAATCACAACAGAAACTTCTATTATATGCCCAAAGGAGTAGAGTCAACAGCCTGTGTACGGTCCCAGCTGGCTTGGAGCAGTATGCTTGTTCCCAGACTTCTCAGTGGAGTGGGGGAAATCTGGGCATGGTGAATGGATTTATGAACACAAAGCTAGGGCAAGACAAATTCACATCCCAGGGATCTGGGGGCAGCGTGGGTGTTGTTCTAGACCAGCACACCTCTCTGGCAAGCAGGGTGAATTTTGTGGTTTTGTACTTAATGCCTTAAATAGAGCTTGCATATCTAGATTTTAAAAGGGCAGAAAAAATCAGCATCCTACTTAGAGGAAAATAGTAAAGGGAGGAACAATATATAGCAGTAAATGAGTTTGATACATTTTTCTCAACAGTACATATTTGACCACTTTCAAAAGCTCAAAAGCTATCATTCATACTTTGATCAAACTATGAAGTGAACTTTACACTACATCTGGACTTTACACGATCAGTATAAGCCTTTTACTTTAAAGTATGCTCCAACAAGAATTCTTAGCATTGAAGTGGTTTATTTTCTTTGTAGCGTTTACCTGATTTATACTCAACACTACAGGGCATGACCAATATATGAGATGGATTTCCAAATGATAGACAACTTCTCTCTCCCCAGAATAAGCATATCATGTGTTTGGCTCTTAGGGTTTAACTCTTTCTTCTTTTTTGTATAAATTCTTGGAAATGGCTGGAATTATTATCTTTGATTAATATAGGTTGTTTCTGTTCTTGAGAGGTACAGCAAATCAGACATACTCAAAGCGTATGTATATATTCTTGGAGCTCATTGCCATCAATCAAAGCGCAGAAACCTGCTCCTGCGATTTGTAATGTGTAGACAGTAATGGTTTCCAACATGTTCCAGCTGCATTTTTTTCCCTTTAACGATCATTGTCTTGTAATATTTCTGGAACTGAAGCAGTGCTGGCTCAAACCTAATATCAGTACAGTATATGATTTTCAACCTTCTCACCCCACATATTACAAGCCCTATTGCAATTTATAGGAATGATGCTAAGTTTGTCTCATCTTGTTTTGAATCATACATCTAATTTCAAGTGTGAACATGCCTGCATAGCTCTTTGATATATGATCTGTGGTAAGAGGTAACATTAATCAAACTGAAGGTAACTCCCACCCTTTGATAAAAACCCTTGACAGCTAGGTATTTCCTTCCCGAAGCTGCACCCAAAGCAATAGGCCCGAGCATTTCAGTTACCGCATTGCTGTTCCCAAGGCAGCAGTGACCCTGGATAACAGTGATTAGCCAAAGCCATGACTTCACTCTTCAAAGTCAAACATCTCTCTTGAGAAATTTGAATGATGTAGTACTATTGAGCAAATTCAGTGGCATCAGAAAAATGGTGGACTTTGTACGCAGTCCCACTGGATGGGGGAGTTAGAGTAAAGGTAAAACAGAAGAACAGATCATTTTTGCAGTCAGTGGGTAAGAAAAACAGATATAGCTTAACAGAAAGAGCAAGGCAAATGGATGACGATGTCTGGTTTTACAGAGTAATCTATGCAGAAGGCTCTTGTCATAGTTAGAGAGTGAATTTGTTCTCTCAAATGTGAAACGGCCTCTCATATTCAGGAGTTCACGGTTCACAGCCTACATTAACTATGTTGCTCTCTCAACTCCACAGTGGGAAAAGTACATTATACAGGCCACCTGGCTTGTGTCCAAGACTCTGCCTTTTGTACGATGCCTCCGAAGCTGGCTAAATTTAAGAAGAGCTTTACAGGGTCGAATAATTCCCTCCATAAGACTGTGAAGTAGGTGCCATCTAAAATGTAGACACCTATTCCCAGGGGGTGACTCTGCCCACCTGACCTGCCTACCTGCCCAACAAGGACCAGAGGAAGGATGCAATCCTCCTGAAGGTGCTTCTGAGCAATTGGAAGTGGCATTGCAATTCACTTTACAGGGACTGGATGCATTTCTAGAGCATGCTTAGTGCTCCACTTAGTAAGAAAGAAATTATGTAGGGGTGAATCACGAGGCAGAGCGCTGTGTGTGAACACACATTTGATGCAGGATTTAACGGCCATTGCCTTCATCCAAGAAGTCAGTTGCGTGAGGGAATCGGAGTACTTCCCCAGAGTATTCCTTGGGCCACCACACTGCTGATGCACAATTTATTGGGCCAGAGAAAGCAACTGAAGCTTCTTGGTTGAAAGCATGTCTACATAGTGCAATGTGTTGTCATATAGAGGCACCAAAGCTCGTTCAAACTGAGGAGGCATTCTGCAGGGCACAATGCAGTGAAAGAAGAGATACTGGTACGGGCCTGACTCTGCTTTCCAGAAGACCTCATTCCCTGGGTACAGCGCTGCACAGATGGGGCTTATACTCTTCCCAGACATAACTCCAGTATCTCTGTATGCTGTCAGGCTGAGCAGGAGATAAAAACTTGAACAGGAGAATAAAAGATGCTTCACCAAATGTGATGTTTACCTCTTGGCAAGTAATTTTGTAGTTTAAGGAGACTTAGCGTATGGCTCCATGAACACAACTATGAAGCAAGCTGAGGTGAAGGTTTGCAACACATTAGCCACTCTGGGGTAATGATGAACAATGACTTCTTCTGCAATAAACGCAAAGCAACTTTGGCCTTCAATGAAAGAGCATTAGCTATCAAAAAGTTGCCAGCACGGTACAAAACCAGTGTCTTGCCCTGCCCTGTACTGGAACCATATACTGTGTCTTTTGGAAAAGTGAAACCAAATCCAGATTTTAGGTCACAAAGACACAAACCGTACTGGAAATATTAACCGTTTATCACAGTCGCCACAGAATAACATCAGGAGCTGTCATACTCAACCCAAGAGAAAAAGGGTCACCAAAGGTCCCTGACAGCTGAAGATTACAGGAAAACTTATCTATGCAGAGAAGTTTTCGATTTTAAATCTCAGTTCTGCCTCAGATCCTATGAAAGATGCTCTTAATTAGAGCTGATCAGGAAACAGTACCTTTTCCTCTGGAAAATGTGGACATCAAAGAAACAGTTTTTGAACAGGAAAGCATTTTGATCTAAAATGTTCGCTGAGCTTATTTTTAACTGATTTCTTTGTTATCAGTGCATAGCTGGACATTTTCACACATCCCCTAGCAAGCCCATTCAGCCATGTTGCCATTTATGGCCTGAATCAAAAGACTCAGTTCCTCAAACTTCTCTGACTCGCTTCAGACAACGTCTGATCTTTCTGCTTTTAAAGTGAGGGCTCTGCATCTTCACTCCATGCAATTTTCCCACTGACATACCTCCCTGCAAAGGAGACGCAAAAGGCTATGAGGTTCGGATGGCAGCAAGTGTTACAGCCATGACATGGCACAGACAGTGTAAAAGCCAGACACAGGGTAGGCTAAATACATCTAATTAAGGTTTTTTACTTCTCACGGGGGAATGCAGAAGACATTTGAAAATCATTAGCAAAAGCCGGATAAAATACAAACTCTTTTATAAATGGTATCAGCTCTTGGCATTTACACATTTGGTGAAACTTCAGACACATATTTACTTTCCTAGCTTGGCCATACAAGGCATCTTTTGTTACTACCAAAGGAAGATTAGCCCTCTGAGAAAATCAGTTGTTTCAAAGGGGTATTGCAGCTAGTAGCCTTGGACGTCATCTTGGCGTCTTTAAAATCCTCTTATACAGAGATTGGTATACAGAGGTTTATAACTTCATGGAGACTTTTTTTTTGCTTGTTTTTGGAGGAGCGAGGAAGGAGCAACCAGTGATAGTGGGCTTTTAATGAAAAAGTTAGATTCCCACGCTCCTTGGAAGTTAAATTACAATTGTACAATTAGAGGAGCTGTAGAACTGGCAGTAAGGCCTGTTCTGCTTTCCTGTGTTTTGAGAAATCAGTGATATAACTAAATGCAAAATTAATTCAGTTCATAAACTATTTTCTCTAACTGAACTGACAACTTACACCACAGAAGGGAAAAAATGAGAAAAGAATTTCTTACTGAAGAGAATTCCGCACTACATTTTAAGGGGAGAAAACTGGGCTCTGTCATTTCTTTTCTTCTTCTGCATGTAGTATTGATGCAGCATTGGTGACTTTCTGCTATGGGATGAGAAGAAGGGAATCAAGTAACAGCTGAGTGTCCTTAAATAAATTAATATAAATTTTCTGTCTAATCACTTAGACGGAGTCTTTTTACGTCCAGGAGACAAAAATAAATATGCATTAAAAAACCACGTGCTTTAAAGAGCACTGTTATTTTAAATTTTATTTTAGCTTTGTGAGAAGTGAGCAGGAAAGTGGCCCTCTAAAATAGCCTTGATTTTCCACTTATGGATTTTCTTTTCTGAAGAATATGGGAGTTTCCATCTGAGACAACAGCTTTTTAAAGGTGCCTGAAGCGGAGGGATGAAACAGGCCTACACAGAATGGAGTAATTCCATGTTAAAGAGCTTTGGATATGCCAGACATTCCGCTCCCCTGAAAAGTATAAGGCAACCATGCCCAGCCAGCAGCCTGCCTGCCTGCCCAGCTGGCCCTCAGCACCACAGGACTGCCAGAATTGGGAGTGGACCGTGGGGTGGATTTCCCAGGCTCGCAGACCTCTGCAGCTCCGGATGCCCTGGCTACGGGGAAGGTGGGAACACTTGCTTTCATCCAATATACTTGTCTCTCCAATCCCCACCTAGCCATCAGGCCAACCAGGAAAGGACCTGATGGGTCAAAACCTGTAAAGACCTGGATCGGGCTCTCAGGCAACCAGCCAGCTATCCACTGGATGCTTGACAAAACTCAGCCATCTTTACCAAACAAGATCCTCCACTGAAAAGCTTTCCACACCTAGCGCAAAAAGCCTGCATGTGAGAAAAATGGAGATAGTGCAACAGAAAGAAGCACAGGGACTTGCACTTCATCACAGGGTGACAAAGGTTCACGACTGCCCCAGTGGCCCACGGATACTATAGGAAGCTCAGCACTGCAGTGGCTTTTCATCTGGTTCTGACAAAACTTCTGGCCATATGAGTTGGGTTTATGTCTCTTGTCTCTAGCAGAATTGTATTGTACTGTTGTGAGTGACAACAAAACTAAGCCCACAAAAGTCAAACCCACAGAAGTCTCCCAGGTGGTATGCTACAATAGAAAAGCTTCCAGCTATGGGTCGTAGCAACTAGTAAAAGCCAGACTTGGGGAAAAAGTTAGATTTGGTTCTTATTTATCCATTCTTCAAGGTGAATAACACTGGTAACATCCTACCCTACCAAAATTCCTATCAAAATCAAACTTATGTACACTGATACTCTACTCACTTATTGCAAGAATCAGCTCTCGTCTCTGTGCAAATCCAATAAGTCTCTCCGAGTCTTTCGAAACCACTACTGGAAAGCCATTGTAGTCAGTCTCCTTGATTAATGTCTCAACATCCTCCACCGTCATGCTGTCCTGTGTCAGAACAGAGAGAGGAGCTTCACCACGCCTTGGTCTCATGACATCAGTTGCCAGGGTTCGGTGGGTGAATTCATCCTTCACATCCAGAAATGGGTAGCCGTTCAGATGAATGTGAGCTTCATAGATCCCTTCTTTCCCAAAGGCATCTGCCACCCACTTGCTTGTGACAGCTGCAGCCATAAGAGGTACGATGTACTCCAGGCCTCCAGTTAGCTCAAACATAATCACCACCAGAGAGACCGTCATTCGGGTAACGCCACCTGCCAACAAGGAAAGCAGTCAAGTTTCCTTCAGTGCTCTTGAAATATACATACTAAGCAACTCATTTATATTTTTGAGTCTTATACTCAAAAAGGCATGAGGTTATCCATGCTGAGTACTTTGCCCTTATACTTTGTGAAGTATTTTTGGGATTATTTCACTGAAGAAAGAGATTTGTCATCTACTGCAATTTTCATCAAAAAGATTGAGTGAACTTGCTCAAGCCAAAGATGTTAACATTGAAAAGCAAATAACGAATGCTAAAAGACTGAGCTATCAAACCAGAAAGCATGCCAAAAAATCAGCTACACTGGATACTTGAGAAACTAAAACTGAATCCTGCCATTAGCCCTCTAAAATGACTCCAAGAATCAGCTAAGTACCACGGCTGGGGCAGGTAGGAGCATTGATAGCTGGCCTTCACATTGGTTTACCTATCGCATTCATACTGAAGAGAAAGCTAAGCATTATCTCTGGGCATGACATGGTTACAAAAGTCTGCATAAGGGTAGTTTAGGGCCACTGCAAGAGCTATGTCACAGCTTAAACCCTAGCTTTTGATATCAGTATAACATGCAGTTTGAACCGTATACAACTTGGTTTGAGGCCATCTAGGCATGCGGCCATAGACAGGGTTGTAGCTGCATTTTTCAATCTAGTCTTTCTGTATTAATTTCATAAAGCAACCCTCCTTACTCCTTCAGTTTACATTAAAGGACAAAAATAATCACATAACTGCAGACAAGCGTGTATGTATCACTGACTTATTAGGTAACATTTCTTTGCCTCTGTTCAAAAGGCAAATGTAATAAATCTGCTATTTTTAGGCCTCAAAATACAGCACCATTTTAGATGAGAGAAATCAGAAACAGGTCATTAAAAGACGCTTTTAATCTAGCAGCATACAGGAAAATTAAATTGTTGATTATTTAACACAATGATCCGGATATGACTTTCGTCTGAGGAATGCCTTAAACTTCTGACTCTGAAAAGCTGAGAGCAGATACCAAAGTAAGGATCATTTAATACTTATTCTATACCTCTTACTCTAAGCGAGACAGGTCTTGGACTTAAGAACAAGCACTGACCATTCTGCTGTATGTCTCGTTATACTATTAAAATCACTGCACCTTTACTTGGACCTTTTAAAAGAGGAAGTGATTGCTGACTAGCAGATCAACTAGAACATCAGAGGAAAATTTTTGTGTATCATTTCTTTTATGAACATTAAGATCATTTATGGACAAGAGGAAGCACTTCACTCTTTTTGACAGTAAGATTCATCCTAGCTATTTTAATGTGTCTAAACTGCTGTAGGTGTTCACATCCAAAGGGGTGATCCAGATTGCCTTTATAATCTCTGGAGAAAAACAGGCACTTTGAAGGCCAAATTCATCTGTTCGTTTGCCTGGTTTTAGATGTCTGTTGCCAGATAAGACTGATCTTTCCAGTATCTCATTTTTCTGTTTTGACTGTGAAGGGTATCAACACATCTAGCTCAGATGTTGATGTCTACATTACAGACATTAAATTTAGACAAGCAAATCCCACCCTTCCTTCCTCTATAACTGATCGCACAAATGATCCTACTTTTCTAACATGAGGCTCCAAAACTGAAACTTTTCCAGCTCTTCCCTGAGTACGTCTTTATTTCAAATCTACCCAATTACATTAATCATGTGTTATGCCTCCCCACTATTATTTCATCATCTAATGACGGTATCAACAACAACAACAAAAGGAGGTAGAACATACAAGTACAGAAAGGGAAAGATACGATCAGGCAAAAACGTGTTCAGATGATATGCTTGTAATATTCCTGTTGTATCTATGAATAGAAATTTGATATGTGAGGTATTATTCAATGATCTCGCTTTAATAGTTAACAGATCATTCCTGTTATATCCAATAAATCCTATTGATTGAATGTAATCAGATATTGGCCTATAGTCAAAACAAAAACCAAAAGACAGCCCAGTTGACCATAGTGTGACACACAGCCAAAATAAGACCCAGAATTTTTACCTCTGTAGCTTAAAATTTGGCCAGAACTGGGAAGTTTGTTCCCTGCAGTGATAGAGAGCACAGTCTAAACAAGGAAGTAGCGTTAGTCCAGCTACAGTGGATTTCATTACATCAAAAGGGAAAAAACCCAAGCAAAACACACTCCTTCTTGGAAACCTGTAGCCTAACTTTAATTTTTTCTTTCCTTCTATGTGCTTTTTGACAGATTACAAGGAATAGGCATTGGTGACTGCATGCCTTTCTTTTGTTGACTACCTGGCAGATCACTGGAGAGACCATTTGTGGAAGCTGCCTACGCTTTAGCCCATCACATCTATTACGTCCAGAAATGCCAGCATAGCACCTAACACAAACACAAAGCCCTCATAAACAATTTGTAGGTCCCCAAACATCAATGTTATCCATGCGTGAAGCAATGATCAGCAGGTACTGTACCCAAGCAAGCTGCCGCTCCCACCATAGCATAAAGTCCTGGTGTGACACAGTCTGCTCCAGGTCTGCACCAGTTCCTGAAGATGATCCAGTCATGATGGTGATATGCCAGTTGCTCTACTCCGATCCCAACCATCCTGCCAGCCATGGCTCCAACAGCCATGCTGGGAATGAAAAGACCTGAGGGGATCTTGAATAAAATATAGACACGTGAGCACTTTGACAAAAATGACTAGTAATGAAATTATTGATCAAACAATTTATTATTAGTGGTAAGAGAATCCAGTTTCCTTATTAAATGCTAGCTCAAGAGGCCATAGCCTTTTGGCAGCCTACAGTGATGTTCCTCGCGGTCTGAGATAGGTTTCTGCAGTGACTGAGTTTGTGTGGCAACATGCCTATTAATAGCTTTGTAAAATTTTAATGCATTTTTTTAAAGTAATTTTGAATCCTACCTGCTGCATCATACTGAAATTGATAGATAAGCGGTGTTTCTCAATAATAGTCTGCTTTTAAAGTCAAGTTGTTCCTGGTTTTGCCTTTATTGCTTTCTCAGCAGGAAGTCAGGAGCTGCTGATGGTTCTGTCATGGGCTTGAGAATAAGCTTAACTGAAAATAACATCTTGATTTAAACCTCTATCACATGGAGTACTTTACGGTTTTATTACTACTCTTTCAGGCTAAATCAGACCAGATTTTAAATTAAATGTCAAACGCAGAATAAAAATTTAGAGAAAGGAGGCTTACTGCTCAGACAGCTATTTCTTCATCTCAGTTTGCTATATATTTTCCAGGAAGTTCTGTGAATCATTACCTTGTTGTCTGCTACACAGATAAGTCACAAATCATTAAAAAACAGCATTGAAATGAAAAAAAAAAAAAGAAAAGAAAATGAAAATTCGCTTTGCCTTGGCTAAGTGCATTTCCTCTTAGATATCAAGTGCACCTGTCAAGTTGGAGACAAATTTCCTGGTGGAGAAGACAACTCAGATCTGTTGCAAGGGCTTGCATGGAGTTTTTGTTGTTTTTTAGAGAGGAAAGGTTGTTATATCTTTTTAATTCTGAAAATATACCTTGAGTTTCCTAGAAAACTAAACTAACAACCTCGGCGTGGCCCAGGGGCGTTAGCGCTGATAACAGCAGGAGCTATCTTCCCCACCATATAGTGTTAATTTTGTTGATACAGTCAGACTGGGCCTTCTAGATTCGGTGGGTAAAGCTATTTTGTCTGTTCTTTTCCAGAATAGTTGAAACTGTCAATTGCTTCTAACAAATTTTAAATATATAGAATAAAGAACCACATATCAAAGAACAAACCAAACTCAGTTTTTAAACAAATGAACAAGAATAAAAACAACTGGCTGCCAGCCCCAGCACAAATCACTTTCTGCAGTGAAGGGCATCTCATTTCAAATCCTCCTCCAGAAATATTACACCTGTGCTCTTAAAACTCCCACTCATTCTCCCTGCTCAGGAAATCAGCAGGACTCAGTCACTGGTCCTAAGTGACCTTCTACCATTCAGTAGTTCTTGTCATCAGGGACATCCTAAATGGAGAAAACACGAAAGAAAAGCAAAACTCCAACAACTTCCTACTATCTTTGGGGTAACAGGCCTTCTAAAAGATGGATCCTCAGTTCCACCTCAGTTTTTAAGAGAAAGATGAGATGCTTTAGCTTTGAGTGTGGCATAATGTATAGTGTATAACTCACAAAAACGTCCCATAATCTGCTGCAATCAGATCCAGAACTAAATGCTCAGATAATGGGAGCTGTAGACAGACGGATATGTGTTTTATATGAGCTCTAGCAATCAGGTATATAAAACTCACCACCAACAGCTTTGTATATATTGAAAGCTTGGATAAATTGTTCTTGGACCTTTCATCACCCATTTATGGGGAGGAGGAATGGAAGGAAAAAGTTGCAAATCCAGAATAATCAAATGATACATCTGTCAGTCCTCCCACTCATTCCCTCTTTTTTTCCAAGCTACAGTGCTTAAAAAGATTCAAAAATAGAGCTTTTCAGCTACTTTTATATTTTTGTGAGGTTTTAAATGTGTAAATCAGTAAATTCAAAGCTATTACTTCCCTGAGCATAGCTACCTTGAGGCACATTAAGACATTAATCCAACAAGACAAACAACAACGTAAGTAGTCCGTACCCCTGAAAGAACTGAAAGAGAGCTGCAGTGGGAATCATCTTGAATTTGCTTATTGGCAAGAATTTAAATTCACACCCAGATTTCTTTTTCACTTAATAAAACTGCAGATGACTAGAAGGTGGAAAAGCAGGGCTCATCCCTTTGCTGCGACAGCGGCCCACAGAGCAAGGTGCTGGCAGGCGGGTGAACCAGCAGGCACGTCAGCTACACCTGTGTGGCTGGGTGTAGGTCAGAGGCACACAAGCCCTGCCAGACAGACCACAGCTGCTGATGGCAACCCATCTGTGCCGTGTGCTCGCGACAGCTTCTGCGCTTGTCCCTGATTTACCTTCATGCCAAAAGTGAATATCGTGATGACAATTTTAAACACCAAAGCCAAGGCGAGCTGCCACATGGCGGTGTAGACTCCAGGGCCGGCAGGTCTGTCGGGAATGTCATCCACCGGGCGGGTCATGTTTGGGTCATTGATATAGTCGCAGAGCTGCGAGGACTCCAGGGCACCGCAGTCGTTGAAGAGCTCTGAGATCAGCTCACTGGTGCTCCTCCGGGTGTAGGGGTTGGGGTAGGCGATGATGGCGGTGATAGCCGTTATCACTATAACCTCCAGGACTGGGTATTTCCCGAGTCTGGTGGTTTTTCGCCTCCTGCACCAGGCGATGTTGCATCGGATAAAGAGGGTTCCCCAGAGGCCACCGAAGACGCCAAGCAGGATGAAGGGGAAGAGCTCGGCCATGTACCAGGGGGTGTGGTACTCCACGTAGAACAGGACCAGCCGGCTGTTTCCAAAAGGATTGATGGACCTCAGTGTGAAGGCAGCCACAAGAGCAGCAAAAAATGACCTCCAGAGGGTTTTCAGAGGAAAGTAGTAGCTGACCTAAAATGAAGCAGAGACCATAAACACTTCACTGAGTGTGACAGAGGGTGTTTGCTTTAGTTATTCACTGGAGCACTGCGCGCAGTAAGCCATCGCCATGTGTTTCATCTGTGACTCTATGTCTGGCTTTACTGGTCCTTACCACAGCCAGAATGTGTTCACAAAGGTATCAGAAAAAGGTATTTTCAGTTTTCAGATAGGGAGCAGCAACCAGTGAAAAATCGATAAATCTAAATCCAAAGTTGCTGGCTAGAGACGATAAGACGGGTGCTCAGCAGCTTGGCCCATATGCAGCAGCAAGCTGAAAGCTGGAGAAAGCTCAGTGCAGTGATACATTTCCGGATTAAATAATTTTGTTTGTTTCCAGAAAGCCAGTGTTCTTCTTTTACTCAAACTATGCTAAAATACCTGGTTATTTCTTATTACTAGAAACCAAAGATTATTTTTGCTTTAAAAGTGTCCTGGTTTCGGCAGGGATAGAGTTAATTTCCTTTCTAGTAGCTGGTACAGTGCTGTGTTTTGGATTTAGGATGAGAACAAAGTTGATA